GACTAAGGGGCCGGGATCCTCAGTAATTAAATGACCCCTAAGTTTATGGAGACAAGAAAAACTGTACCCATTATTTAAGTTTTTATAACCAACATGTAGTATTTGTTTAATCAGGGAAAAGCCTTTTTGTAAATATCTTCTATTACAACTCAATTAAAATTCCAAATTCAATGTGTTAGCACATTGCTATGAAGACGTAATATCTGTTACATTTTCATTTTAAACACAAAATGTTGAATGATATGAGTCAGTCCAACAAGTAATAATGTGCTAACCAAAAACCATGCTTGCATTGAATCATACCCTGCTGTCTTGCATTAGGCTGCTTGCATCTTCATTTATAATAGAGGAAAAATGGCTTTGCAAAGGTATAGCAGAAGACTGCTGCCTTGGGAAGAGGTGATGAATCTTAGTTCCAACACCACTGGAAAAAAATGAGCTGTTTAACTTTCGGGAAATTACAATTCGGCTTCCAACTGTCTACAATGTACTGAGGAAGATTTAGATGACATGGTTTGGTTCTTTCTCAGACGCAGTGCTTCTAGAAGAGTAATAAATATTTGATCCATATATTCAAAAGCCAGGAACTAGGCTTGGCCATAGGAAGAACCTCCTCATACATGTTTCTTTAATTTTTTTTCCCCAAAGAGCATACCAGTTAGCCTGAGCCTTTGATCAATTTTAAGAGCCACTCCCAGTTGTAATTTAACTTTTCTTTTAAAAGCACTTGAAAAAAACTGCAATGGAATGACTACCTCTCTAGTGTATAGTGCCCTCCCAGGTTAGTTCTCAAATTTTGCTTCTGTATTTAATGAGAAAGTTCTGCCACCTCCTCATCCCACCCCAACAAAACTTAGTAAATTTTCAGGCAATTCATAATCAAGCTCTTATTGATGATTATTTTTCTCAGCAATGTAGGTACTATACGCATTGATACAACGCTTTCTAAATTATATTTGGCAAGTTTATTGTGCTATCATGTATTGAACTTTATAGAGCTAAGAAAAGAAATGAATTTAAACAGTAAAAATGAAAAAGCCCACACAGGACTGAGCACTGCCAGATGAAATGAGGAAGCAGTAGAAAGTTGCTGGGAAGGGCCAGTGAACTTGTGCAACACCTGGCAAGCTGTTCCAGGTAAACTTAGGAAACGTCCCTGTTCCTTCTGGTCTGGGTAGTTATCATTTACACAGCTTTAAAAAAGCTTTGCTTTTGTGGCATACTGATCTCATCAGTTAATAGTTACAATTCTTCCCAAAGGCCAGCAAGCATCATTCCCATTTTACGGCTACACCCTGATTTTCCGTGGCTGTCATTTGAGAGACTGGCCAGGATAAGCACTAAAGTTTATGACTTATATGATGAACATAACTGCCTTTTTGCTTTCTGACAAAAATCCCAACCAATATACACACGAATGTAAGTGCTGTGCTCCAAAGCTGTCATTTGGCTGATGACACACTCAGTGATGCCATCATTGTCAAACCTCTTTTAGATGTCTGCTTACAGGATTGCCTTCAGGAACACAAAAGAAAATGGCAGAAAAGTAAGAGTTGGGAGAACATTTAGCAATCACTGCTCAAAATGGCCCTCACTGAATGAAGCATCCCTGCCCACAGCACCTGGTAGGATGACCCATCTCTCTCAGCTTCAACACTGCGTCTACATCTGTCAGTAGCCTCTTACAATTGTTGGACTACTTTCATAGTGAAAGATATTATTACTTTATATTTAACTTGTTTTTGATCAAAGACAATATACTTATCCGAACTATGAACTTTATTCAACAGATCAGTGTCTTGATGACTTTCAGCTTTACACAAACATCAAGATCATTATTAAAAGATAAAGCCTGACAGTCAAGGAGGAAGTTCAAAGAAATGTAGAGTAGTCCCCCCTTATCCATGGGGGACACATGCCATGACCCCCAAAGGAAGCATAAAACCACAGAGAGTACCAAACTCCTATATACACTGTTTTTTTTTTTTTCCTATACATAAACACCTTTTTACTTAAAGAAAGCACTTTATAGCTTCTCTTTGGCATACCTGAATTTCCAACATCACTACTCTTCTGTTTTGGGACCATTATTAAGTAAAATAAGGGTTACTTGAACACAAGCACTGCAATACCATAACAGTCAATCTGATAACCAAGATGGCTACTAAGTGACTGATGGGCAGGTGTGTAGTATAGACAGCGAGGACACGCTGGACAAAGGGATGATCCATGTTCTAGGCGAGATGACAGGACAGCTTGAGATTTCAGGACAGCATTAAATTTAAAACCTATGAACTGTTTACTTCTGGAATTTTCCTTTTAATATTTTTGGACCCTGGCTGACAGCAGGTAACTGAAAGCTCAGAAAGCAAAACCACAGATAAGGGGGGACCACTGTACTCTAATTCCAAAATTTCTCAGGGCAATGACAGCACGACTGAACTACCCTGAGAGCCTCCCCTGAGAGTCTGTCCAGACATCCGGATCAAAACCCTCTTTATTTTATAGCCAGGTAGCTCTCTATACCCCAAGACTTGTGTTCTTTCCATTATACCACCCAGGGTACATAAACTTAGCTTCTTGCCTACTTTGAAAACAATATTTATTGCTTCGAGTGACAGCATGGAAATAGCAAATGAAAAACTCGCAACTTTCAAAGTTCTTGTCTTATTTTGATACTGACATGACCCTGGGAGAGTCGCGTGGCTTCTCTGAGCCTTAGATTCCTCTTGAGGCTAATACCTGCCACTGGAGTTGTCTTCAGGATTGAATGAGTCCATCTACACGAAACACCTTGATATCAGTACAAGTAGAGCTCAATGTTGAAGTTTTCAGGTTACTTACAACTCACTAAAAATGCACATAGCATGAGGTTTAATGATTTACGCAGTATCAGTTTATACATAACACCCAGGCACAGACTATGGCTGAGAACAAAGTAGGGAGGGAGAGAGAAAAACCAAAACAAAACTGCTTTTCCGAGGGTTAAAGCTCACATATTTGAAGGCTATCTCTTAGAAGTTCTAGACATTATGCTAAAAATGACCATACGAGGATAACGAATACAGTGGTGAGATCATTAGAGCTTGAAAAAGTAGTGTGAACTTTACTCTGAAAAAGTAAACAGATATTTGTTATAAACACATCTGTATGTATGTATGTTAGACTATCTCGCTTTCTTTTAAAGATAGCATGGTTATGTCTGATGTGATTTCATTTCAAAGCCAAGATAAATTGAGATCATCGGGCCTGTTCAGTATAAAAATGGCAAACCGACCTTGCAGCTTCTGATTTTCCTTCTCCATTCTGAGGAGGAGGATCTGTTGTAGAATCGCCTTTTGCCATAGTTCTCGAAGCTCGCGAGACGTCCTTTTCTTTTCCTCTGGCGCAGGGCCGAAGGGTCCATCTTCACAAACTGGTTCTAAAGGTGATCGGGGCGGAAGCTCTCCCAGCTCGGAAAAATCTGAAGAGGGAAGAGGACATTTCAGAATGTTCGTTTTTCAATAAAAATGTATGTTTAAACATAGTGCCAAATTATAAAATTCTGCTCATTCAGATATTACATAATGCTATCACCCAAATTTAAGATTCATGCTTTAACATGCACTGGAATAAATTAGGTCTGAGCCACAAACATCTAACACATTACATATCAAATAGAAAGCAAAAGTTGTAGCAGCTGAGGAAGTGTTCAAAGATAGCTACTTTTTAAGGTGTAATATTTTTATTTTCTGAGTTAATAAGTATATTGATAATAACAAACATTCATCTATTGCTCACTATGCACTAGACTGTTCTGAGGGCTTTATGTATAATTTATTTAGCACTCAACCACCCTAAGATGTAGATACGATATCTATTCCATTTTAAAGAAAAGCGAACTGAAGCTCGGGGAGTTTAAGTAACTTGCCTAATGTCACACAGCTCGGAAGTAGTAGAGCCGGGACTGGAACCCACAGTTTTCATTTTCATGTGCATTCTTAACCACCGTGTAACATGGTTAGGTATTTTGAAAGAAGATTAAAACAAACTGAATAGCCAATAATAACAGTGACCATTAACGGATCTTCTACCAAGTGCTGGGCATTGTGCCAAGTGTGTTATGTACACAGACTCATTTAATCCTGAAGACAATTCCTGAAGGCAAGTATCAGAGGAAACTAAGGCTCAGAGAAGCCAAGCAACTTGCACAGGGTCATACAGTGAATCGGCAGGTGCGTCAGGATCCCAGCCTACATCTGCCTGACTCACAAGTCAATGCTTTTGGCCAGATACCTCTACCACTCAAATATATATTTTTTTAAATTTTATTTTATGAGTTTCAAGTACACAGTACATTGGTTAGACATTTATATAGTTTATAAAATGATCACTCTAAATGCTCTTTCTCTTCTCCGGCTCTCTACCTAGCCATTACATTAATGCTGACTGCATTCCCACCATCCCCATGACCATCCATCAGCTACTAATTTATTTAACCTTTTACTTATTTAACCCTTTAGCCCATTTTCCTGGACCCCCAAACTCCCTCCCATCTGGCCGTCGCCAGATTGTCCTCTATATTTGTGAGTCTGTTTTTGATTATTCTTACACTCTACATATAAGTGAAATCATATAGTGTTTATCTTTCTCTGACTTATTTCATTCAGCATAATAACCTCTAGGTCCATCCATGTCATTGCAAATGGTAGGATTTCATTTATATTTTTAATGGCTGAGTAATATTCCATAGTATATATGAACCATAATATCTTTATCCAATTGTCTGTTGATGGGCATTTGGGTTGCTTCCATAACTTGGCTTTTGTAAATTGTGCTGCCATGAACATAGGGGTGCATAGATCGTCACGAATTACTGTTTGGGCTTTAAATATTTCTTATGTAATCAATTTTTAAACTTCTATTTATAAGTCGAAATCTCTTCACATTTCACAAATTTGTGCCTTTCTTGACTGCAGGCACTATGTTGCTGATGCAAAGTGTTATAACTCACAATAACCTACAGACATGCACAGAGAACATCCCACCTGCACACTCTGAAACTAGCTATGAAGAGCAGCAGAAGTTCTCGTACAAACGGACCGCATCTGCTGCAACACATTCTTAGGAGCTTCTGTCTAAACCGAACCTAAATGAAATCATGGTCTTAACACATGCCGTGTAAAGCCCTTCACAGGAAACTTGAGTCTCACAACCACCCGTCATATACAATCTCGTCCAGTCAGCAACTCCAACACAATTCCAGATTAATTTCCAGAAGTCATCAGCACTGACTGCTCTTTATTGTTATCTAAAATTGGGTTTGTTCTCCTGCTACAAAATCAAATGCAAGCTACAAAATGTTTAATTTCCTAAGTAACCCGTCCATCATAATTCCTCTTAAAATTACTGGATTAAGAAAATGTATGATAAGTATTAAGAATGTTTAATGATTGCTGCAGCATTTAAATGCTTATCATTCCATTTCTATATATGTTTATTTCATTATGATACCATTAAACAAATGAATAAATTAAAATTCTTTTACTTTTGGAGGTAAGAAATAACATACAGTTTATGAATATTAGAGGAGGATGCTCATGTGTTTGTGGTCAACATAAAAGCAGGAATCAAAATTGTCTATGTAGTATGATCTCAGTTTTATAACACCAGGAGAGGCAGTGCAGTTTAGTGATTAAGAGGTCAGACTCTGGAGCCAGGCGGCCTGGGTTTTAATCAAGGCTCTGCATCTATTGATTCTGTGACCTTTAGCAAGCTGCTTAACCTCTTTACACGTCAGTTTCCCAATCTGTCCAGTGGAGATAACAGCATTCTCCTCAGAACGGTGCTACAGGGATTGAGTCAATACATATGATATAAACCCCCTAAAACAGGGTGCCACACACAGTAAGAATCTGGCAAATATTAGCTCCTATTGTTTACTATCACATAGTCGCTAAGGGCACAGAAAAAAAAGAAAAATGACACACATCAAAATCTAGGCACTCAACTGGAAGCTCTAAGAAGGCTTGACAGGGCCACCCTGACAAAGATTTGTCCAGCACCAAGCACAGTCCCTGGTACCCAGCAAGAATTAAAAAAAGAGATAAGTAGGTGCTAAGTTTGGGTATGCTTGTTGTTCTTCTTTGTATTTCCTGTATTTTTAAAATTTATGACTGTAAATGTTTTTATAATTAAAAATCAAAGAAAACTAATGCAAATCTGTTCTGATTTAAGTCAGAGATTGAAAAATGTTCTGCAAAAACACTTAGAAGACAAATCGATTCCCCAAACATCTGTATACTCAGGACTAGTAGTCATCACTGACTCTGATAAATTTTAAATTAATCCTTTTGTCAAAAGAAATTTATGTCAGTATTTTAATCTCATTTAATCTTATTCTGCAGCTTGTTTTGTTTTTCCATGTGAACTCTTCCTTTCTTTTTTCTTTTCTCTTCCCATCTTGGCTGTTAAACTCTGCTGGACACTGCAGTTATGATTCAAGTTCTGCTTTATCTCATGTTGGAAGTATTTACACTCCCACTGGTTTATAAAAGTCTCGTTTCCAAAAAGCGATTCCTGTGAGACGTCCTGGCTGATGTGGCAGGCACTGCGGCAGCAGTTAGCGTGGAATTTTAGTGTGCACAGAGGAAGAATCCAGGGACCCGTCCAGTAATAAAGCATCTTTCCCATTCCTAAACCCTCCTAATAAGGCAAGGGCTCATCTCACCCAGTCACATTCCTCTAACCCATCCTTTCCGTTTATCACAGCCTTTCTCCTCCTGGGTGTCTTGAAAATTCCTACCATGTTACTTTCAAATTCTGGAGCGTAATGAACAGAACAGGTATAACTCAGGCCAGGGTGATGGAGCACATCTAGCAGTTTAGCCTGTTTGGTCCCCAGATCCTTTTAGTCTCTACCAATCAGGTTGCTGACAAGGACCACAGTCTACAGAAGCTTAAGAAGCTCCAGCTTTTGCTATTTTCTTATTCAAAGAAATTAGATCTGCCAAGAGTACAAGCATTTTTGGTGATGACTGTGAGATTTAAGACATAAATTGTGTCTCTAATGCTCTCTGCTTTTGCCTTCTTTTACTTATCAATTACAACTCAGTTCTGTTGACCTTTTACCATGCGACGAGTCCCTGATACAAATAAGTTTGTCTGATTCTCAGGACTACCTCAAGAGCAAGATCTTATTCCCATTTTTTTTTTTTAGACCAAGCAACTAAGGTACAATGAGGTTTTTTAACTTGGCTAAGGTCACACAGATAGTAAGAGTCAGAGTCACAATTTGAACCGAGGTGTATTTTCTTCCAAAGCAAAAAATGCTTATCTATGCTTTTCTAACTTCTAGATGCACAAGCATCATATGAGTATCTTGCTAAAATGCAGATTATGATTCAGTAGGTCTGAGAGAAGCCTGAGAGTCTGCATCTCTATTGAGCTCTCGGGTGATGCCACCACTGCTGGTTCTCAAAACACACTCTGAATAGTGGGGCTCACACTACATTTTCACTCTTCGTTCCCTCATGTGACCCTAAATACTTATTATCATGTCAGTTCTTCCTTTTCTTCCACTGTTACCCCTAGGACACAGTTTAACTGCTCTTGTTGTCAGCCGACCAAATTTAGGTCTTCACACATGGCCGGAGCTTGTCCTGACCTTGGTCAGGGTACCAAGGCCAAGGGCAGAACACAAAGAATTGCAAGTACTAGTGTTAATTTTACCTCTGAATTAACTAAATAAAAGCTAGTCTACTGTAAAAGTCAGAAAATAAACCTAACAGTTCACAGCAGAGTTTCTCAGCCTCAACACTATTGACATTTTGGGTTGGGTAACTCGTTGTCATAAGGGGCTGTTCTGTGCACTGTAGAATGTTTAGCAGCATCCTTGGGTACTACTCACTAGGTGACAGTTGTATGAGCCTACTCCAGTAGTGACGATCGAAAATGTCCAGACATCGCTAAATATCACCTGGGGAGAAATGGGGACAAGATCACCCCCAGAAAAAAAACTCAATTCAGAGTAAAAAAAAACAAAAACAAAAACAAAAAAAAACGCACCACTATTCTTTCCTAAGCCCTGGGAAGGGGTAAAACTATATCTCCTTCACCCCAATTTATTTTATGTGGTAACAACTACTGATGTTACAGTTTATAACTCACAAGAATTTTTTAAATATTAGCTTTTGTTCATATTAGGAGTAGCCTACTTACAAAGTAGTTCAGCAATTTAAAAGTTGGTCTGGCTAAATCAAGCCAAGTGGGCTGTTTCCTTATCAGTGCAAAAAGATCCAGGTGTGAGACAAGGCTACAGCTTTGTAGTCGATCCTCTTTCATGTGTACGTGTTTGTGTGTGTGTTGAGAATGCAGTTTTGTGAGGTGTGAACTCACACACATAGGGGGCTGAGTGGAGTGGCAGGGTGAGGATAAGAAGAAAATGTTGGCCAATTGTCAGCTGAGAATCTTGTTCTAATAATA